AATAACATTTTTTTTTCATAGTTGTGAAGCCACAGGAATGCAAGTCATTAAAGAAGGAAATTCAACCACACCAACTATATGTGGACTTGCTCCAGCACAACCTACTGATGCTCCTAAGACTTTTACCTCAGCTAGTACTGATGCATTACCAACTACAGGTAAAATGTGATCTGCTGTAATAACTGTTTAAGGAGGTTCAAAAATATACCATCATACCATCATGATACCGAAAAATAAAAAAACAAAAAGTGGGGTCACAAGATGATTTTCAAGATACATGATGTCATGAAAAATTGTCTAGATTGGCATTTTTTCACTGGTTTCTATAGTGGGATTATTTCTTCTTATCTCTAAAATTTTGCTTTTGACATGGAATAAAAAAAGTCAGATATTATTATATTATTGTTATGAATATTATAATATTTTAAAAATGTTTCATAAAATGTAACATAGAATTTGGAGAATTTATATAAAATGGGAGGTTTTCTCCTACAATGCATGGCATTAATTAAAATACTCAAAAAAGCAAACTTTGAATTTGGCTCAAACTTCATTAAGGAGTAATGTTTCATAAAACATATGATTCAGTTTGTGTTTCAAAGTATTTTGAGTGCATGTCTTTATTTGTTAAAATTTGAATTGAACCATGTCGTGTAGCTTATGGCTTTCAGTTCAGTTTAACTGTCCCACAGCTCATGTTACTGGTGATGATATCATATCTTATAAAATGAGTTAGTGTACATCAACACTCGTGTAATCTTATCTACCTAATATTTTTAGCTTCGCTGTCGACTTTGTCGAGCGGAGCTTATCATATGAGTGATTGTCCGTCGTCGTCCGTGTCAATGTTTTACTTTTTTGACTTCTTCTTGAAAACTACAAGCCTGAATGCTTTGATACTTGGTGTATTATGTACCTTGGGCAGACCTCTCTTAGGTTTGTTCATTTCATGTTGATATCTTCAATTCTCTAATTTTGGTGAATATTTTTGTCATTTTTGGTAAAAAGTGATATTTTCGACTTCTTGTTAAAAACCTCAAGTGCAATTGCTTTGATATTACATATATAGGTACTACATGTGGACCTCTCTCAGATTTGTTCAATTTGTAATGATATCTTTAATTCTCTAATTTTGGTGAATATTTTTATCATTTTTGGTAAAAAGTGATATTTTCGACTTCTTGTTAAAAACCACAAGTCTGATTGCTTTGATATTACATATATAGATACTACATGTGGACCTCTCTCAGATTTGTTCATTTTGTGATGATGTCTTCAATTCTCTAATTTTGGTGAATATTTTTGTAATTTTTGGTAAAAAGTGATCTTTTTGACTTCTTGTTAAAAACCAATAGTTCAATTGCTTTGATATTACATATTTAGATACTACATGTAGACCTTTCTCAGATTTGTTCGTTTCGTGATGATATCTTCGATTCTATAATTTTGGTGAATATTTTTGTCATTTTTGGTAAAAAGTGATATTTTCGACTTCTTGTAAAAAACCAATAGTCTGATTGCTTTGATATTACATATATAGGTACTACATGTGGTGCTCTCTCAGATTTGTTCATTTTGTGATGGTATCTTCAATTCTCTAATTTTGGTGAATATTTTTGGTAAAAAGTGATATTTTCGACTTCTTGTTAAAAACTGTAAGTCCGATTGCTTTGATACTATACATATTGTTCATTTTTGACTCCCATGTGCGAAGCACAAAATGGGAGTCTTTGCAGTTAGTGTGTCTGTATGTGTGTGTGTGTGTGTGCGTGTGTGTGTGTGTGTATGTGTGTCCGACTGTTCCACTGCTATCTCAAGAACCATACATCGGTTTTTGATGAAACTTGGTGCATAGATGCTCTGGGCCAATGCGCAGATTTGATTAGGTTTTGGTAAAAATCCATGCTCGTTAATTACCTAATTTGCATGATAATTAGCTAATTTTCAGCTGTTCTATGACTGTTCCACTGATATCTAAAGAACCACTCATTGGATTTTGATGAAACTTGGTACATAGATGCTCTGAACTAATGCTAGGTTTTGATTAGGTTTTGGTTAAAATCCATGCTCGTTAATTACCTAATTTGCATGATAATTAGCTAATTTT